GGCATATTTTGCATCCTGAGACCACCAGGAGCACTCGGTGTGAGTGCCTGAGCTGCCGTGGGAAGGAAAGCCTGAGGGCAGATCTTGCGGGCACATCTGCAAGGAAACAACCCACTGCCCCAGCCCTCACACAATAGTCCCTTCCCCATGGAGGCAGGGGCGGACGCCCACCCCTTACCACCTGCCCAGGAGGGCCTCAGTGCCGCAAAGGTGAGTGCTCGGCAGGTGGGGTGTGTCCTGGCAGGAACAGGACACCCGGTGTGGCCCCTGTGCACGTGGTGGGGAGGGGGCGAGCACACCTCTGACATCAGCTGTTTCCCGGGGTGACTCTTTCTTCTCTCTCCTGGGTGGAGGTCCAATTCCGAGCTGCGGCAGTTCCTCTCTGCAGTCTCTATAGCAACATTCACGTGGATTTCATAGAACATAAGGTGTTGGAGCTGGAAGGGACCTCAGAGATCAGCTCCTCCTGCCCCCTCGTTTCAGGGAGAGGGGAGCGGGTCTAGAGACACCACACTCCCAGGGTCCCCCGGCACGCCCGAGATCCAGCGGGGGGCCTCCGCCTGCTGGCACATTCCTGGCCAGGGTCCCTCCCCTGAGATCACAGACAGCTGAATTCCCTAGGACTGGTGTATGGGAGGTACTCTGGGGTCACAAGGCTTGGGAGCTTCACCACTCCCCCGTTACTAACAGACCCCTGAAGTCCAGCCTAGCCCTGTCCTGCTCGGTCACTGACCTCTCCATTCAGTGCTTCGTGGAGGCAGGCTGGGTACTGTCCTCAGGAGGCCCAGAGGCTGGGGCTGAGGCCAGGAGCCCCCAGAGGAACCACTGGAGAGCAAATGTCAGTGTCCACGTGAGTGGAGCAAGAATTGGGGGTGGGAGGGGCCAGGGAAGGCTACCTGCCTAGGGGAGGGGGGCTCCAAGCAGAGCCCGGAAGGTCAAGAAGACTCTCACCCCTGCCTAAGCCCATGTGGCTTGAGCACCATGGCCCTGTGGGTGAGTGGTATGTGGGGGTAAAGCTGGCCCGCTTGGAAAGTGGGGCTCCAGAGAGAGACAGCCTCAGGCCAGAGATCCTAGAGGGTTGTTGTGTCTGGGACTCATTGCACACGTCACTCTAGGACCAAGGGGCCAGGCCCCCAGAAGGGCAAGTCAGAAGGCAGCGTACAGGAGCTGGGGTCCCCAGGCCTGCAAAGGCACCTGGAATGGGGGCCACCAGAGGGGCTGGGGTGAGCATCCAGAGTGAGGCAGGAAGAGATATGGGGTTGCTCCAGCTCTTTGCTGAAATATGGGTACATGCAGACCTCTGCCTGTCCAGCGGGGCCAGGCCTATGCCAGGAGGGTTGAGGGCCGTGGGCACCCCCCTCCCGCTGCACTCTAGCTCAGCCTGACAATCCAGGCGTCCCAGGGCCAGCCACGGCCACCCTCCTGACCTTTCCCACCAAACTGGCCCTTTTCCTCCCCCTTGCGGGCAGCCTGGTCTAGTTATCTGTTGCTGTGTAAACAAAAAATGCCCCCAGTGCTCCTGAATCTGCAGTTTGGGCTGGGCTCAGTGTGGACAGCTATTTCTACTCTGCACAGAACCCACCAGGACCAGAGCGCCAACTGCCAGGATGACTTCCTGGGTGGCGAGTGGGTTCCTCTCCACCTGGGATTCCTCACAAGGCTATTTGGGCTTTCTCACAGTATGGCAGCCAGGTTCCAAGAACAAGTGTTCCAGGAGACAGGAAGTAGGGGTTGCCCGTCTGTAGGGCCTAGGTCCAGAAATGGACACAGGGTCCCTTCTGCCATATGTATTGGTCAGAGCAATCACAGAGCTGGAGGTAGGGGACAGAGGCCTTCCTGCCCGATTGGGAGGGGCAGCAAAGAACTTGCTGTCTGTAATGGACCTCAACACTCCACTGTCTCTGCCCCAGGGGCTCTCTCTTTGCCTCACCCCCAGGCCTGCAGATTCTGTATTTCTGGGAGGTCTCTTCTGTCCCTATTCCCTTCCCCCTGGTTACTGTCACCCCCTCAACTCACGTCCCTGTCTACAGGCTGCACCATGCTCCTTCCTCTTCACCCCCTATACAGGACACCATGCTCCCACCTCCTACACCCCCTGTAGCAGTATCCTCTGCTGCTCTGCTCAGGAACCATGCATGGCTGCCTACTTCTGGCCGAACAATTTCCAAGCTCTTAGGCTAAACATTCAAATTCACTTTAGAATCTAGCCCCCTCCTGTCTTACCACCTGGATTTCCTCCAAGCAACTGGATCACACTTTGGCCTCTTCTGCTCAAAATGCCCACCTACTAGCACTCTGAGCTTGCACGTATTCATTCCATCTACCTAGCAAGTGTGTCTGTCTCCTCTCCTGTTGGACTCCTGTTCAACCTTCAGAGCCCGGAGCAAATGCCCCTCCCCCACAGAGCCCGGCTCTCGCTATTTGATTATACTAGCCTTGCCTCACTGCACGTTGCGACACAGTCTGCCTTATCCTTGTTAGCCATGACATGTCCTCCTGAAGTGGGGCCCATTCCTAACTCATATTTCTTTCACCAATTTAGTAAGTTTATTGAGGCCCGCAGCCAGCTGCCAGGGATATGGCAGTGACCAAGACAAGCTGCTTCCTGTACCCAGAGAACTTACATTCCCAAGAGTGAGACAGATGGCAAACGGAGGAACCAAGGGACATAATGATCAAAGACTAGGAGGACGGCTGGAAGGCAAGAGAGGCAAGAAGAATGCATGACCCAGGGACCTAGAACGCTCTCCTTTTGAAAGAAATCAGAGACCTGGGTTTTTACATATATTCTCCTAATTTTAAAGGTTTCAAGGTCAAGTATTTCTCCTCTGCTGCTTTCAGCTTTCCTCCCCTCCTGGCTCCCCACTCTCTCTTCCTGGTTACCCCATTAGCACTAGCCCCCACCCTGGACTCAGCTGCCTTACCTAGAGCCCCCACCCCTAGGGGACCCAAACTCCTTTCTGGTTTCCCTTGGGCAACAGCTGACAGGAGGAAATAGGGAGCCCCTTGCCTGGGACCCTGGGGTCAGTGGGCATGGGCTGAGAGTCTGAGCCAGCCACCCTGAAATTAGCCTCCTGGAGCATAGGACACCTGGAGTCCCCAGGGCCCCAGCAGCGGGAGCTCAACACCCCTACCCCAAGCCCCTCGATCCACACATCTGGGCATTGGTCTGGAAGAAGCAGGGGTCCCGAGGAGCGAGACAAGAAAAGAGGCCAGGGGCCCCTCAGAGGGCTTCCTCAGGTTTGTCCCCCAGCTCTGACAGGGCCTTGAGGGACGGGTCTCCGGAGGACTCCTGTACAAGCACTGCCATGGGACAGTTTATGTTCTCTGGAGTCAGAGTTCCCAGGTACAAATCCTGGCTCTGTCACTTTCTAGCCTGGTGACCTTGGACAGCTCTCGTCCCCTCTCTGGGCCTCAGTTTTCCCACCTGATCACTGGGGATCCTAGCACTACCCACCTCACAGGATAGTTTCGAGGATGCTTATGCCTGCCACACAAGGACACTCAAGACAAGGCAGCTTCCCACAGCCTCTCCCATGCAGGGCCCTGCCAGAGCCTCTTGGGGCATCCCTGTGTTTTCCCAGACCGCTGAGCCCTAGAGGCAGCTTCTGCCCGTTATCATTATTTGGGCTCTGGGAACTGGAAGCGGGGAGGGCTCAGGCCTCTGAAGGGGCTAGGGTCCATGTGACAGCTATCACATCCTGGGGGACAGCCAGGCCATGCCTCCACTGCCACAGGAGTAAGGAGCAGAGGCTGATCCCAGAAGCACTGCGTTTCTGCCTACACTCGCTGCCCCCAAGCCCCAGCTGAGGGGCATCTTGGCTCACCACTCCCAGGGTCCCATGATCATCTCAGCCTTATGCTCAAACCCCAGAGAATCCTGGGGGGAGACAGACAGTCCAGGGGGAGGTGTCAGGCTCTGGAGACTGGTCTGCCAGGGACCAGCATGGGGTTGGGACAGTCAGCACTGGGCCTCCTTGGGGCCAGAACCTGGCACCAGAAGGCCAAGGGGCTAGCCACCTCCTCCTCCGGGACCCCTGAGGGCAGAGCCCCAGGGGAGGGGCCACTCAGAGTGCTTGCTGCAGCTGTAACTCGGATTTCCCTTTACCCAAGGATCCTGGGGATTCAGCCCAGCGGGCAGAAGCTGCGGGGGAGAGGGCCCTGCCGCTCTCAAGTGTTAGCTTATCCTGCCGCTGGTAACCAGCTGTCAGCTGAGCCCTGAGTGCTCCGAGCGCCCGGGTTTGTTTGCCTGCCCTAAGGGGAGGGGGGGGCACAGCAGGCCAGGTGGCATCTCTGGCTGAGAAGGGACAGAAACCCAGGGTGTCCACCCCATGCAGTCCCACTGCCTCAGCGCCCCCTTCTCGGGGCACTCTCCCCGCCCCAACCCCGTCCCAGGCCCGGAGACCATCTCGCGAGGGTCACTGGGCAAGGAGCAGTGCAGGGAGGGGTGTTGTACAGCGCGCGGGGAAGCGACAGGCCCACCACCCCACGGAGGTGGCCACGGAGCGGGTCGCGGGGCCTGGGGCAGGGCAGGAGCTCCCCGCACCAGGCAGAGCGCGCCCACCTCGTGCACCTAGGGCAGTGCCGGGGCCTCGTGACCCCGCCCCCGGGCGGCCGGCTCATTTGCATGCCCCCGCCCCAGCGCGGCCATTGGCGGCGGCGGCG